TCACTTATATACTACAATTTGACCATATCTTTAGACAATATAAGATCTTCAACCTCACACTAAGGATTGAACATCTTGAGCATGGAATAAGATATTTATGGGTAGTTCAATAGGCCCAATAAACCTTGTTAAATTAGACTCTAATACCATCTTAAAATATGAAGTTTAAACTTACCTCTACCTCACAAAACTAACTTGAAAAAAAAGATTTACACTCACTATAATTTGATGATATATCTAGTTAATGACATCTCCAACAACTTATTACATACCAAATTAGCTAAAAACTTAATTTTTTATTATAATTTGACCATGTATTTGCCATGAACAAACCATGTAACAAATATCATTAGAGAAAAAGAGAACTGAAAACAGTAATTTAAGAGACAACGCACAGTAGGCAAGGATGCTGGGGCATAGGTATCATCATCCTCTGCAATAACCAGAACCTCGTCACCTTCTTGCAGAACATAGGAGTCATCTGGATTCAAAATAATTTTACCACCGTATGATGCAACTTTGATTCCACAAGGAATTGCAGCAGGAAAGCTGATTAATACATCCTCGAATTGCATGCCTTCCAACTGTGGCCATCTTTTGATGTAGAATTCACAATTTTCAAATCCTAGTATATCTTCCCAAATCTGCCAAAGTAAGCTGGTCAATTTTTTCAAAAAAAAAAACTTAATGAAAAGATAACTTTTATTAGAGACAAGGCGTAGAGATCAATATCATCTTCAACTGTATTGCAAAAGGAAAATAAAGTGGAACAAGACCAACCCAATAAAGCTCCCCTGTCATTCTACAAATCTGAAAGAAACTAAGATAGCATGGACAAAACACCAAAAGGAGGCCATAAAGCCTATCCTATTTCACAAAAATTGGAAGGATAGGGAAGAAGATAACCTAAAAAATACATTTTAATAAACAATACAAGCATGTAGTTGTTCTTGTTAAGAATTAATTAACTTGAAAACAATAATTAAGGAGTTCCAATGGATTAACATTATGTATTATGCAACTTAAGAACACCATGAAATGGTAGTAGATGATGACCTGGGCAAGTCCAGGCTGCCGAGCACATTGAATCATCAAGCGACCGATGACATCATGAGCTACAACAGTTTCAACAAGATCACCACCCACAAGTTTAACAAGGACCTCATTGTCTAGATCACTCAATTCAACCACTATGTGCCCTCGTAATCCATCTTTTACTCCAGTCAGACTCAAGACTGTTCTCAAAGCACGGGCGTCACTCTGTGTCAACAAGAAGTAAGTTAATGGTTATCCAACCTTATTAAACTTGCAGCAGATCATCACTCAATCAGACCTGATCAGCATTCCCATCTTCAGCAAGGACTATTATTGCACGTGCTTTTGAAACAGAAACCTGCATATCACATGGTTTTAGCAAGCAAATATACAAGTTAAAACTGGGAAACATCTTCCACTAGAAATGAACGTTTATGCAATAACATACTGTTACATGTAAAGAAAAATAGCACAAGACTAAAACAAAGAAGCTAGTAGCAGTAAATGGATTGAACATCAAACTTGAACAAAGCAATATCCACAGTTTCCAAAATGGCATTTTGCATAAGATGTCAATAGGTTGTGCAGCATAGTAATTATACTCTCAGTCAGTGTTCTTCTAATATATAATGCTCAGAATGTAGAGATTAGTAGAAAGAAAGGGAGGAATTTTATTAAATATGCTCCTCCTACTCTGGTCTTTCCCACCCAGAACTAATTGGCAAACTTGTTAACATTATAATTCATTATTATACTAGACATGAAAATCACAATTCCAAAATATTAAAGTAGATCCTACACCTTTTTCAGATCAGCCAGAATCAAAGGGCTGCCACTTCTGCATATGACAGATGTTCCTTTGAAATCAAACTCCATTTTGGCAATGTCAAGTTCCATTTCTTCCTTGTCTCGCTCAGCCATCACTGCAACAGTTCCTCCACCCAGACTCTCATTGGCTATGGCAAGCTGATTTAGTAATGAACCCTACACATCCAATTACATTATTTGGGGTCAAGATACGTGAGTTTTTAAAAAATAAGTCAATCAATCAGGTAAATCATTTGTGAAAACAGCCATATAACGAATTATTTACTAGTTCGTTGACAAATTTATAATGGTGGTTACAAGACAAGACAACCAACGGATGGTAACACCAGAATCTTACCAATTTATCACTCCAACCAAGAATTAAAGTATGATTGTGCTCAACCACCTCGCTTTTCCCTTTCCTCAGTGAGTCAAATTTCTCAGATATTGCATCGGACACAAGTCCAAGCATCATTGCAAATATAAGCATCCCACCAAAGCTAATGGAAATCGCAACTAACCTTGGACCAGTACCTTGGGAGCTGGCATGATTGCCAGAATCAGCAACGTAGGTCCAAGATAACCAGAGGCAATGTGCTAAATCCTCGGTAGTTACCCCAAAAAGGGCCAATCCTCCAAGAAAAATTAGCAACAGGGTTGCCACTAACAACACGAGGGGTTTAGCATACGGGTAAACCGATAAAAAGACATCAACCCGATATGCTATTTGCTTGTTTAGAGAAACTCTCTCTGATATATTGTCAGAAAATCTTGACTTCGATACATAGTCTATGTACTTGAAAATAATGAGAGGGATTAAAATAAGTGTGAACGAGAAAAAAAGTGCTAGATTTCTTTTGAAATTTTCGCGTAACCAAGGAGTCGAGTCCTGAGATGTTGAACTTGTCACGTTAAAGGTGTCCAATTTGTGGCACGCATGTACTATGAGATTAAGGCCGAGAATTTCACCCTACAAAGAAAAGTTTAGTTTGGTTCAGTTGTTAAGGATGAAGGTTGCATTGAAGGTAGTGTGGAGATATTGATAAGCATAATAGAATTAAACAGAGTGATTTAAGATGAAGGAGAGAGCGAATAATATAGGAGAGGAGTTGCCTTGCCTGCAACTTAGTGACTTGGTTTTCTAGATGAGCATTACGGAACAGCAGCACCAGCAGCAACAAAAAAACAATAGTCAACGTCTGCACCCACACAGACAAAAAACAAGAAACAGTGAGAGAGACAGAGAGACAGAGAGATAGGAGCAATCTAGTACCTACCACGAGGGCAAACTGCAAACGAGATTGCGAAAGGGAAATATTGTTATCCTTCGGAGATGACTTGATATTTTCAGTATCGGAAACCTGAGGTTTGTCGTTGGGGAGAGTGGGAGTACGGGAGAATTTAACTCTGCGGCGATGACGGATACGAGTGAGGCTAGGAGGAGAGTAAGGCTTTGAGTTTGAATAGAACTGACGGCCATACTGCGACGAGGAGGAGCGCAAGAACGATGGCGACGGGAAGAACCAATCTCTGCCTGAAGCCGATGTCTCCGAATCCAGGGACATATTCGGAAGTACAGACTTTCTATAAGTTAACAAAAACTAAGTATTCTTGTGGTAGGCTTGTTTAGAAGGAAAATACGGATAATTATGTATTTATTTAATTGAAGAAAAAAAAAGAGTGTGTAACATACACTAAGTTAGTGTAGATAAAATAAAATATGAAATTAGAAATTATAATGTTAAGATTTTACACATCGAGTATATATATTATCCGGTTAAGTCGATTAGAAGCTAACACTGGTGGGATAGTTTCAAATAAAACATGGTCAACGAGACTCTAAAACTCAGACCACAAGTCCATGATCCTCATCTATCGTAAAACACGCATATAATTAAGAGAAGTTATCAAAAGAACGCTTTCCTCATGACCAAACATGTGAAACAGTTAATTGGTAAGTCACGATCATTAGAGGCATAGAGAATTAATACGAAAGCCTATATATATAAGTCTCTCATCGAGAACAACTAATAATACTCTAATGTTGAAGTCCACCAACTTTTACCAAGATTTTTTTACTAGAACAAAAAGGAAACAGCCTAAAAAATTAATTTGGTAGTTAGTGACTTCATGGCTAATAGGATTTTAATTTCAGGATTATGTTTCTTCTTGTTATGGTGTGTAAATTGTGAGAGATTGGAAGGGATCAACTCCAAAATGGGTTGGGATATAATGTAATGTTATACCATAAGAGGTGGATGACATAGAGAAGTTGGTAGATGTAGTGACTAATTGGTAGAGGAACCTTGAGTTTTTTATCGGCTATGTTTTGGAGGGAGTGCGGAATTCATAGGCCATACATTCATATGCTCCTGGTTATGTGTTTCATGCTCTTTAGAGGGTAGGGTATATGTTTGCTCATACTTAGGCTTTGTTCCCTTTGAATTGATGTATGTACATTGATTGGCCTAGGTTTAGAAAGATTTTTGTTTCAACGGTTATACGCAAGGTTATCTGTATATATGTAGATGAGTGGTAGTTGTCTACTCTCTTATAGGGTAAGAGATTTGTTCTTTTTGCAGTTTGGAATATATACATATTAGTAGACAATTATTAAAATTTATAATGATAGTAGACTCGGGGAATATTCATATTCATATTCATATTCAATAATATGTTCTCATAATGAACTCAGATGGAAGTTTTATCATTTTGTCCTCCTGTTTCTGTTTTCTAAAAAATAAAATAAAATAAATGACATTAATTACTATATATTAATACTACGTGCTATAAGTTGGAATTATAAGTGAGAAAAGTAGGTATTACATATATAGCTTAGAATACCATCTTAGTTGGGACTGTCAACTATACACTGATACTTCGGCATACCTACCTTCTATAAAAAAAATAAGTCTTCAACACCACAATCATTTGATCATGCTAAATTTGATAAGATAACATCCTTTGTACTCGCAAGTGGATGTGGCCAGAATTTCCCACCCATTTTTCTTCCTTTCCCTCTGTTCTCACGGTATCTGTAGTCTAACAAGGATCATATGTTATCTTCATACAATCTGACACTGAGTAGAAACTACCAATCACCACTTCAAGAATATGCTGGAGGATCCAAGCCATTCCATTCAGATATATCAACTATCCTACAGTGCGTACATCCTCTTGTATTCACTGTTTAAAATCTCTTGGTCTGATGCATGAGACATGGAGAATGATCGACTCTCGGCCCTCAATTTTGTCTCTTCCATCCTATTCAAAATTACACAATAGCACATGGAGCCGATTGTGGACAGCATTATCAAGCTTCCAATCACCGTAGCATATATTGCAAGCCATCTGGAGTGTGATCCCACCACCACATATGTAAGAGAAATGAAGGCAATGGAAATGAAAAGGCAAGCCATCCACATGAGCTTGTTAATGACAAAAACAAGCTGCTTCTTTGCCTTTTGCTCAATCACAACTACAGAAGTTTGAACCACAACAACTGCGAGAGAGATGAACAATGCCAGGCTGTCAAACACAAAAAATATTAGGAAAGCTGCATTGTTTGCTATATTTGCTTGGCCAAGTGAAAATCCATCTGTTTTCTTTTCAACATATTGACCAGGGATTGTGAAGATGGCTGCAAAAGCAACAGTAGCAATAAGAACGGCAACAATAGTAGCAGAGTTTATCGCATTGTTCAGGCCACTAATGTGTAGCTTTTTCAGCTTCTTTGCAATTTTTTGAACCCTCATGCCAGTCTGACGTGTCTGTTGGAGTTGAGATTGTACATCATGCTTTATGTCACTGACAGTCTGTTTGAGTTGCTTTGACGCATTTGGAGGTTTCCCTTGGTCAGTGGAATTCGCAGCCCCAGCATCCCTCAATATGGAGACAAGTTCAGGACTTCCAAATTTCTCTGCAACATCAAGTGGAGTCTCTCCAGCCTTGTTTATTGCATTGATGTTGTTACCCTCCATTGATAACAAGCAGCGAACATTCTACAATTAATAATGACTAGTTTAGAATAGACATTGAAAGCCAACTTCTCCTTATTTCTGGGAATAAGCTTTGTCTTTCTAATGAAAAAACACAAGAGGTGAGATGATTAAACTTTGGCATGGAATCATGCTGCCTTTGCATGAGTATAAAATTTATCCTACATATTTTTCCAGAGTTTACATTCGTTCCTTAAGCTTCAATTGTGTGCATGTGCACCAATGCAATGCAAAACTGCTACAATCAAATTCAATGCTGCTAGATCAGGAAGGCAAAACAAGAAAATCAACAACATTAACAAAATCATAAAGCAGTTGTGGCCTGAGTAATGCAAGACAAAGGGGGTCAATTATTCACTGGGTTATTGTTCAGACTACTAAAAATGGATATACTTCATGGTACAGCAGCAACTGTACTTCAATTTTTAAGTAATAGCCAACAGACATTGTTGAAATACGTGTACCATCACTTGAAAGACATAATTGTTGTACAAAAAACTCAAACAATTTGCTTTTTTAAAAAAAAAAAAAAAAACTTTTTAAGTGACTGATCAAGGAGTGAAAGACCTAAGATAGACTAGATCCTTTGTTAATTTTGTAGTTGTGCATGAACAAAGCGAAGATAAAAGAAATAGTTCATCTTTGTTAATAAACAATTTTATAAAGAGGCAAAAGTTCTTATTATCATAGGAAAATGTAAAGCTTAGCATTTTCTTGAAAAGACGAATATAGAAATCCTTATTCTATTTTCAAACAACATATATTACAATTAAGAATGCTCTTTTGCTCCTGGTTATATTCTTGCTTAGGCAAAGATATTTTATCCCATCCTAGGGCATAAAAACTGAGTAAAGCCCATCATTAACAATATATGACACGCAACAAAACTCTTATTAAAGAGAAACATCAGGCTAATCAAAACGATAGGTAAAGAAACTACAACTCAATTGGCTTCTTGTATCTCTACAAAAAAATAAAGATAATGACCCCCCAAGCCCCAACACCATCATTTAGAGTATTTTAGTTTTTTGACCTTCGGAAGTTTTCCTTAATTTAATATATAGCCCCTCAAAAAGAAAACTTGTTCTATGGAACCCTCAAGCCGAAACCCATAGGCCTGACCTTGATATTGGGTTCCCTAATGGAATCTAGTACATCATTGTGCAACCAAGAGAAAAATATGACTAACAAGTAAGCTACTGGTCATCTTTTTTTTAAGGTATAGAAAAGCAGTTCACAACGACTTCGACTGCAATGTCAAGGTTTTTGGAGTCTCTATAACCCCATTGTGCTAACATCAGCTGCATTTTTCTGCAAGATCAAGGACCTCAGTGAAACTGCAAACACAATTTGAAATCTTTTGTTTAATGGACAATATGGCCACTAACATCGGGGCAGTATCCAAAATGTGGCTTACTTGTCTATTTTCTGTTAAATTCTAATCCAAAAAAAAAGTATCAGCAAGAATGCATATTCATCACTAAACAGAAATAAAGACTGCCTACATAATTAGTTTATCATGGCTAATAAGCTTTATACAAAATAAATAAGAAAAGAATAAAGAATCACCTGAGTACGGCCCTTCTTTGTGGCAATATGCAATGCTGTATTTCCTTTATTATCTTCCATGCGTAAAACTACGGGGTCAGGTTTTACCAATTCCAGCAAAATTTCTTCATTTTGCCCTTTCACAGCCATGTGTAGTGCAGTTTGGCCTTTCTTATCAGTTCTAAATCCAGTGCTTGGATCCTTGTTTAGTAAAGCTTTCACAACTTCCAAATGCCCCATCCTAGCCGCAGAGTGAAGGACAGTTTTACCATTATTCCTGGCTATTTTAGCAAGGTTAGAATCTGATTCCAGAAGGAGATTAACCACATCAATATGCCCTTGAGTTGCAGCTGTATGTAAGGCAGTTGAGTTGGACAAATCTGTGGTCATGGCCAAGTTGGGAAAAGAGTGAAGTAGTTCTCTCAGTACCTCTGCAAAATTCTTTTTCTCAGTCAGAGATACAACGAGAGAATGAAATAACAGACATGATATTTGTGAAAATATCTTTGGTTCTCCTTGCCTGGGATTCTCACCCATGGTAGCATATCTGAAACTTAAACAACAGTATCTGAAAGGACATTGCATCCAAACATATCATTGTAAAATAATTAACTATTATTTTAACATTAAATGTACATGCCAATTTACTGAGATGCCACAATAATACCACAAATGTCTTCTCTAATTTTATTTTCATTGTGCATAAAGTGGGACAATTCCAAAGGCCGGGGTGAGGGATGGGTGGAAGAATACATTAATTCCTGGACACTTTTTCTTTCAGTAACGCATCCAAAGTGCTGCTTACTCGCGAAATTATGGAAGACACTGAAAGGACAGTGTTGATTTTTGGTTGTGGTTTAGATCTTTATTAATTAAGAAGCAATAAGTAAGATATGACACCCAGTCACAATCATTTTAGGGTAATTGAGCTCCGTTCATTTACATTGTAAAATTGTTCACAAAATCCAAAACAAAGAACAGAAAATTATGGGGAGCTTAGGCCCAAACATAATGGCATGTATCTTACCAAGATGACCTTGCTTTGCAGCAATATGGAATGGATCATAGCCATTTCTGGCCGCAATAGAAGCAGTTTGCAGGTCCAAGTACTTCAGTATCTCACTAACAACCAAAGCATGCCCATTCTCTGATGCGACATAAAGAGGGGTCTCCCCCTCTAGGTTCTGCTTTGCCAACAAATCTTTTGTCTCATAATTTAAACAGTTTTGAATTATCTCTTTCACCCTGCTCAAGTTCCCTGCCCGAGCTGCTAAATGAATTGGTAAGTCACCACGTTTCCCAGGTGATTCCTTGCTCTTCTTCCTTTCGCTTCCCATAAAGCTGAGCTGCTTCTCCATCACTATGCGAAAACTTTTCTGTTTTTCCATGAATCCACGAAAACTCTTCTGTTTTTCCATAGTAGATGCCCGAAAACTGTTTTGTTTCTCCATAGTCACTTCAAGTATCTCTCTGATACCAATGAAATTTTCTCTCTGTCTGAGGCAACAAAACAAACATTACAAGACCATCAATTTTCACCGCTAATCCAACTTACACAGACGTATAATTTGGTTTGTACATATCAAACACGCTTAATTGCGTAAATTAAGTCATGAAGAATCCGAAGATACCAAGAAGCAAACCAAAAGGCAAAAAATATTTTATCTATTTTCCATCATTAACTTGGAAATCAGAGATACCCCATAATAGACTGGAAGGACAAACACAACCATAAAATAGCATGATTCTTAGAAATTAACTCATAATACCTAGATGAAATACAGATCGAGAACAGAAAATCTGGAAGCCAGAAGATCGACTTTCACTAACTCAAGACTTAAAGCTGTTCTGAAGCTAAAGCTGTTCCAAGGCATCTAAAATTTCTTCCAAAATAAGAAATAATTAAAATTTTGGGAAAAAAATCACAGATGGGAGTGACACTAATTACGCCAACAACAAGCAGAGAGTAATTTTCTTTATCCTAAAGAGAAGACGGATAATCATCAGTTCATCTGCTGCCAACTATTAAATTGTAAAGGGATTTTGTTTTCAGATATAAAGGGCTGCCTATACTCGGTAGTTGATATCCGCGCATCGCACAGGACTGTTGTTAGACTTTTTTTTTTCACGTATAATACTATTTTAAAAATATATTTTAAAATATCACGACTGATTTAAGGGTTGTGTGGGGTTTAAATTCAGATATACTTCGTTTGAGCGAGGAGAGGTGAAACTGGGTAATCTCGAGTGTTTTTCGCTCAAGCGATTGGGAATTTCGCTCGAGCGAACACGAGCTGAAATATGTGGTGATCCAAGTTGCGTTATGTGGTTAACTCGCGTTGAACCTTTAGTCTATGGTCAATTCTCGCTCAAGCGACGGGTAATTTCGCTCAAGCGAGAAGTGATTGACTAACTTAAACGCATGTGGGCAATTCTTGCTCAAGCGAGGAACTCATCGCTTGAGCAAGAAAATTTATAATTGATTATAATTTAAACTAATCGATTATAATTTTAAAATAATCGAATATTTAAAATTATGACCGATTATTTTTCTCTCGTTCAAGCGAGAAATCCATCGTTTGAGCAAGGAGACCTGAAACTAATGGGTAATCTGTGGTCAATTCTCGCTCAAGCGATGGGTAATTTCGCTCGAGCGAGAACTGATTGAAATATGTAGTGACCCAAGTTGCATTATGTGGCTAACTGCGTTGAAGCTTTAGTTTGTGGTCAATTCTCGCTCAAGCGATAGATAATTTCGCTCAAGCGAGAACTGATTGAATTATGTGGTGACCCAAGTTACATTATGTGGCTAACTACGTTGAAGCTTTAGTCTATGGTCAACTCTCGCTCAAGTGAGAATTTCATCGCTTAAGCAAAGAAACCTGCAACTAATGGGTAATCTCGGGTGTTTTTTCGCTCAAGCGATAGCTGATTGAAATAATTGTTTCATAAAATCTGCAAAGACTTATCTAATTATTTTCGTATTCAAAAATTTGTCCTTGATAATTTTAAGTTATACACTCCCTGGACTGCAAATTGCAACTTGTCAGCATATCTACGATTCAGCCATGAACAAGATTGAACAACAAAAGGACTAAAGTGAAGGATATTAACAATTCATGCAACAAACTAGTATTCCTATTATGATTGTTTGCCAATATAGTTATCCTTATTGTAAGAACAAATGAGTCCATGAGTTACTACATTGTAGGTTATCCCCACTCTGCAAAGAAGAAGTTTTATTAATTGAAAAACTCCTAAGTTTCATACATTGGGACATTTCTTAACTAACACAATCTAATGATGCGAAGTAGATGCACGTGCAACATTGAGGCATGTTCTTCTGCTATGACCAGGGGTATGACAATATGAAAATTTTTTAATCCTACTTTGATTTTCTATAATATCCATCTCAGTTCTTATACGACTTGATTTTGGTCGGCCCTTTGAAATTCTTTTCATTTCTGGATCTGCGCACAAAGTAGATCCTATGTATGTTGGCCAATATTCTTCATTTCACAACAACCCAAATTGTGTTTCGTATACCTTTGAAATTTGTTGTAAGGTATACACTGGATGAATGTAGTTGTTGAATTCATGGTGTGCATGCTTGCATGCAGCAAGAACATGTGAACAAGGCATGTGAAATTTCTGGAATTTCCCACAGTCACACCATAACTCATCAAGGCGAACTGCAAACTTCCCTGCTGGTCGAACTTCACACGAGTTTTGTGTTTCTTCTACTACAAATTTTGTGGTAGATCTGTCAAAAGTTATGACACTATGCGTGTTTGCTTGTATTTGTGCTTTCTCTAAATTTGTGACTAAAATTTCAGAGTATACATGACCAACATTGATCATAGCATTTATCTGCCTCCCTCTTTCAATGAAAAATTTGTTGCAACGGTTGTATGTTGCGTTGACCATGGAGCAAATAGGTAGATTTATTGTTTCTTTCAAAACAGAGTTGATAGACTCTGCTATGTTGGTCGTCATGTGGCCCCAACGCCGTCCATTGTCTCATGCAAGTGTCCATTTTTCTCTAGGTATCTCATCCAACCAATTAGCTACATTTAATGTCACATTGCCTCAAGATGTTGTAATAATAGTATGTTAGAAAAGTAGTTTTAAATCAAGAGGGGGGGTGAATTGATTTTTGAAAGTTTTTCGCAATACACAGATTATCTAATTCGAAAATTAAGATTACTTATCAATTCACAAATCACAAAGCAATCAAACGGTTTAAGTGCGGCAGCAGAAATTAAAGAGAGAAAGGTTAGGAAAGATTTCACTGGTAATTTTATACTTGGTTCACCCAATACCAGGGCTACGTCCGGACTCCAGCCAAATTCCAGTTGGGTTCCACTAGAATAGATGTTTTACAGACTCACCCTCTTACACCTATTCTAACTCTCCACCAAGAACCAAATTCCAGCTCTTGGAAACCTCTCGCAACCAAATTCCAACGCGAGAGAAACCGAGTGCCCAAATTCCAGGCACCACACACAAGAACCAAATTCCAGCTCTTGCTTTAACCTTTCCACCAAGAACCAAATTCCGAGTTCTTGGCAACTTTCTACAACAACTGCAGAAAACTTGTACCCAAATTCCAGGTACAAAACGAGTACAAATGAATGAATAGAAATTTAAAAGAAGAAACAAAGAAAGCTCAAACCGGATTACACCAATCCACGATCGAGTATCTTCTTCAAAGAAATGCAAAGTGCCTCAAGAAAGATTTCAAAAGAAGTTCACAAAAACAGTTGTGTATCTTTCTTGAAAAATGCTAATAGTTGTTTGTATTGATTGCTTGAATTGTGTAAAAGCTGATATGTGATCTCTATCTCAAAGTTTCAAGCAAATCTGTTTATAAAAGAGTATTTTCAAATCTGCTGCATTAATTAATCTGTTGAAAGTTTGTTTTAATCTGTTGAAATAGCAGTTACAATCTGTTAAAAGTCCTTTCAACCCATTAATGCGTTCATGATCTTTAACGAGAAAATGTTTTAGTTGATACGATCACGTTTTTATCGGTTAAAACGTTTTACAAACATTTTCTAAGTATAAAACAATCGATTGAATCACGTATTAATCGATTGATTTGTTTAAAAACCTTCTTATAAAACTTTCCAAGTTATTTTAAGCTGATATAAAGTCGTTTCAATCGATTGAAAATCTGCACATATATTTTCAAGTCATTTTAATCGATTGAAAGTTCGTTTTAATCGATTGAAAAGATTTTCTAAGTTATTCTAATCGATTGAAATGCGTTTTAATCGATTGAAATAAGTCTGATCGGTCATAATTCAATTCTGATCGATCATAACCAACTTCGATCGGTCATAATCTCATTCTGATCGATCATACTGACATCCAAAGTGATTTTAATCGATTGAAACGTGTTTTAATCGATTAAAATAATTCTAATCGCTCATATTTAAGATCTGATCGATTATATTGCATTCTGACCTATTACATTCGAATTCTAATCGGTCATAAAGAGTTTTAATCGATTAAAAGAAGTTTGTATCGATTAAAATATTGTAAAAACACTTTTTAAAACATTCTAAGTGTTTTAAATTGATTCTTTCAAACCTTTATCAGTTAATAACTTGTTTAAGAAAATTCTTTGCCAAAATGCTTTTGTTTTTTATTTGTTTAAAACTATTTTTGAGGCATTTTGCAAATTGAGTGAAGAAGCTTTATGCGGTGGAAAAGGTAAAGTGGTTTTACCTAAGCTTTACTGTTAAGACACACTAAGTCTTCGAGCTCCATTCTTCGAGTGACTTGTTTGACTGCTGCAGAGTTGACCTTTGACTTTATCTTTGACTTCATCAAATCATCGAGATCTTTGCTAGGATCACTTTCAGTCTCCCCTATTTGATGAAGACAAACACCATTTTGAAAAAAACAATCTCTCGCAAAATAAGTCACTTGATAATGCGGTTAGGTGAGAAATATAAGAATGTAATAAAGTTTTGTTTCTCCCCTAAAACTTATTTCTCCCCCTAAAATGTTGTTCTTAAATTTATCTTAAAGTGATGCAACTATTTCTCCCCCTTTTGACTTCATCAAAAATAGGGAATAGAAGAGAGAAGAATGTAAGGTTTCGAAAAATATGCTCAAGTTTTTGAAAATACAAAAGTGAATCAATATTTCACTCATGAAAAGAATCAATTAAAGTTGATTCAAACTTATCTCCATTAACACGTTTGTAATGAATACAATTAACACGTGTAAAGATAAGGGAATCACGCTTTAGTAGCATGTTTACGAAACGACCATTAACTAAAGCCTTTAATCTTTCTTCCCAGAATAAAAATCGATTAAAAACGAGTATAATCGGTTAAAATGTTCTTGGTAAATGATTTTAATCGATTGAAAGAAAAGTTTAATCGATTAAAACATTTAAGATTTTGAAAACATGAAACTTTAGTAAAAATAATCGATT